ACAACCTACCAACACCCTTCTAGTACCCTACCCACATTTTACGGACACCATACAACATTTATTAAAACATTTTCTGACCATCATTATTTACATSGGTTTACATTTGTTTTATTTAAGGAGGAAAGTAGCTGAAATAACGGGTGAGATTCAGCAGTACCAGAACCAGCCTTATTGTCTGGCATCAGATATGAACATTAAAGTAAGAACACCTCTTTATTCTGATACGAATCAAGCATGTCTGTTGAATAATCTTTGATACATGATGTTTGTAGGAATACTTGGAAAACTTAGATCCACTTGAAGGTAGAGATGAAAAGGAAATGGCTGACTATTTGTATAAACTGTCYTTGGAAATTGAGCCCAGAAACAGTAAACAGGCACTGAAGTTTGTAAGTATTTAATATGGAAAACACTTTTCGAATTTGTAAATATATTTGGGTGGTTTTGAAGAACCCTAAGAGATATGGTTCTGACTGTATTACTCGGATGACACATTCTTTTTTAGTTGTGATGCCAATCTTTTACTTTATTATTTTATAGCCACGTGTAACAGAAATCCCACTCAAGTCGCCTGGTACCAAGCCAAGCTTCCTGCTGTCACGACTCTCAATCAGTTCCCAGTCAACTCTTAATAAACGAACKGTGTCTACATCTTCGATTTTCAATGCTGATTATGGTGAGGCATCAACTCCTACATCAACTTCAACATTTCACCTTTCAAGACCAGCACTCTCTCCCAACACATTCACCCCAAGCAACAGTACCCCACTTATCCCAGAATCCCTCCTGGATGAACATGATCCAGATTATGAAAATATTGAACATTTTGCTAGTCAAGAAGAAGCTGCTGCACCCCCATTACCACCTCTCTTACCTCCACGACCAGCTAAACAGAGAACTGTTTCAGTAGTTGAGGATCGGCCTCTGCCYGAGGTTACACCAATAAAAAGAATTAACTCCATGCCTCTTGTTAATTGTAACATTGGAGAATTAAAAGAATCACCAGAATTTCCTCACAAGCCAATCAGAATGCCAATACGTCCACCACCACCACCTCCCCCTGAAGAAATTAAAGCAGAAGCCCCACCACTACCCCCTCGGCATCCACTCAGAAGCCCTTCTTCTTCTTCCAATGGTCCTCCACCTCTTCCGCCTCGATCATCTCAGGTTATTGATCCAGCAATTGTCATTGATGATGACTTGAAACCTCCTGCCTTGCCTCCAAAGTCAAAAAAGTCATGATTTCTAGAGAGACTTACTGAATGAGACTAGATATACCATGAAAAGATGTCTTGTACAATGGCACAAGATATGGCAAGATGTAAGATCTTGTCTGCTGTGAACCATCAAAAATAGTCAATTGGATATACCACACTTGGAGTATACCCTTTAAATCAGKGCACTGCTCAATAATGATATCCTAGTACGATCAGTTACTAAWGTAGAAGTTTAGTAGGAATGTTCCTGAAATTGTAGGAGATTATGATATTGCCAGGACAAATAAAGCAGGACAGTGCTTATCTAAGATTTATTTTTTTCATTGCCATATTATACTTTGTCAAAAGTAATCACCATCTCTCTGAATAAGAACTGTCTCTTTTTTAGAGGAAAGAACATTTTTGTAAAAGGACAAATTATATAACACAAAACAAAATAAAACATTTTCTTACAATATTCTGGTCTGTTGAGTAGAAGGATATCCTGCATCTYTATTCTAGATAGGGTCACCAGTTCGGGTCACCATTGAAGAAAGTGTCTAAAATATAACAACTATTGTATTTTACAGTGTTTCAGTCACCAAGACCATTCCTACCACACAATAGAAATGATAAATTTCATTT